TCGACACAGTGCTTATTATTAATGAACGAAACTTTATTCTTAATTAGTGTTGTATAAAGCTCGAGTCTCTGAAGCTACAAAGCTTAGCCTTAAAGACTGAGTCTTTAAGGCTACAATCATATGAAGCTCGAGGCTCAAGGCTCGAGCTCCAAGGCTCGAGTCGTCGAGGCTCGAGGCTCGAGTTTCAAGGCTTTGAGTAGTCGAGGCTCGAGCCTCGAAGCTCGAGGCTTTTATGTTTAACAGGTTCACTGCTGAGCGTGTTTCTGCTGGTTTTGTCTTCAGCGCCAAAGAGTGATTGCCCATTAGAATCATATAATAATATATTACACAATATGATTATATGTATTGTGCAAACTTATCATGCGTAGTACATTAATCTTGCTGCCGGTCATCTATGACTCCCACGGCGTAAGAGTATGTTTCCAGTCGATCAGATAATACTATATTTTGAACATTACAGACAAATTTTTAGCAATGTTTCATTTCGTCTACTATTCAATGGTTATTTTGTTTCATTTTTCATTTCCCTTTCTTGGTATCAATCTCTCATGTGTTTGCAGTCATCGCTGTATTTTTTAAAAACTGTATAAAGTATAATATTATAGATTTAGTGTAAATTCCATTATTTAACACTTAAGGGTTCTAGAGGGTTGAACCTTAAAGCTTCAGACTTAATGTGGAATAACACAGTGACGATTGGCAAAAATTAAGTTTTTTATATATATACTTTCAAAGTATAATTTTTCGAAAATATTCTACCAGAATATTAAGTCGAATATCACGTGAATAACGAAAAAAATGTCCCAACTTTGATCAATGAACCGTGAACAAATTGAGAAATTATTTTGTTCGACGCGTAACATCCTATGACTCGTATATCTTGCTCAAGTATACATAGGTATTTTGTAATAAAAGAAAATTTAACGTATTGTCCAAAATATATATTTGATCACCCTATTAATAATAGTTTAATGAGGTTTGGGTGTTGCAGAACTAATTTATAAAAACCACGCTTTTCTAGATGTTTTTGGATTATTCCCCCTTGAATCTTTAAAAGCTAGAGATTCGTGTAATATTAGAGTTAAAAACTGAAAATTTTTAGGTTAAGTTTTAAGGCTTCGAAAATTCAATGTCTGTACATTACTTCACTACATACAATTTATACGACTCGAGCCTTCAAGCTTAAAGGCTCGAGCGTTAAAGACTCGAGCTTCCACGACTCAAGCTTCGAACCTTGAGGGTTCGAGCCTTTAGGGTTTGAACCGCGACTCGAGCTGTTAAAGCTCAAGACTCGAGGCTCATTTTAACAACACTATTCTTAATAAGTATTCAGGTACACACAACAGAAGCTCTCTTCTTCTGTATTCTCTTGTTTTTCAGTCTATGTCTGTTCTAAACCTCGATAGACGTCTTCTGTCGGTCGCGTGCTCGCCGCGGTCGTCTGGTGGTGCTCTGTTCCCCTGCGCCTGATTGGTGAGCTTGTCCTATGAGCCACAACAATAGTGGTATTCCGCGATTAAATGCGATTTTAACACTGTTCTGGTCGTTTATTGTTATTGTCAATGGCAGGGGATTATGGTTACGTGGTATTATTCTATTCTTATTAGATGTATGCATTCTTTGAAAACAAAAGAAGATACGAAACTAGAACTAATATTATCTTAATATTCTAATTAATACGAATTAATGCTATTAATACAAAATAACTTAAACTAAACGCAACGTAGTCGCTAATACTCAAACGAAAGAGATAGACGGAATGGAAAAAGTTCCATCGATCATTTCGTTTACGCACCTGATATTCTATATACCAAGCAGTTATTAAGTCTACGATGAACTACGCGTTAAACTACAGTATGAACAAGTATCGCGATGAAAGTGTTGTCGCCAGAACCTGGTTTAAGAAAATAGGAAAGACGGGCGACACCTCGCTAACCCGGATCCATCTTTTACTGTCATGGAGCTTTGGGCTGGTCACCTGCGTACCAGACCCGAACCAAAAGAGTACACAAGCATGGTAGTGCAAGCGAGATTCTCTGTTAAACAGAGTCCGTTTACGGAGCAGCCTCCCGACTACTCCGTACCCTGGCACGCACGAGTCTTTCTCCAAATCCTACTTACCAGGCAAAGACTAAACACGTCCGATATCTGGCTTCTCAATAGAAACCAGAGGGATCGGCAAACAGTCTTAGTGTACAGACCCACTGCCCGTACCATAGGTACAGACCCACTGCCCGTACCCCAAGTCTGTGTAGAGAATCAACGAGCAAAATGAATTAATAATAACTTGGTATGCACAATGGATGGTCACAATTTAAGTCTATTAATAGATAGACTAAAATTAATAATAAACGATGTGATGATGAATATGAATATAACAATGAATATCGAATTATGATTTAAGTTTAACTTACAGTAACTTAACGCAGTGGTAGACGCACGCTTTGAAGATGTAGACGTTGATCGATGTCTTCTTTCGATGGAATAACTGTTTGGAAAAATATTTTTCATTATACAATACACATAGAATACATAATATGCACAGTAAATAAATCACAGTAAATAAGAAAATAAATATCGAAGCCAATGGTTCTCGAACATCTGTAACATACAAGGAATTAGTAACAAGAGAGGGGACACAACAATATGCACAGTATATAGATTAGTAACATGCACAGTAAATAAATAAATAATATGCACAGTAAATAAATCACATTAAATGAATCACAGTACATAAGAAGATAAATATCGAAGCCAATGGTTCTCGAACATCTGTAACATATAAGGGATTAGTAACAAGAGAGGGGACACAACAATATGCACAGTAAATAAATTGATGGTTGTCGAATGCCTGCAACAAACAATGGGTTAGTAACAAGAGAAAGGACGAGTATGAGACGCGCGACCACCCTCCGCGACGGTTCACGACAAAGTGAGGAAGCAAGCACAGACCTGCACGGGATGGTACGACCTTGGTACACGGCGTACACGGCTAAGTCAATAAACTGGGTGACGCAACTCACTAGCGCGTTGGATCGACGGAGAGCACCGATACTCGGCACGCTCTACCGTACTCTCTCGCTCGCACACCTCCCTCCCATAGACCACCGAAATTCCTCGGCACCCGTCAACACCGACGGAGAGCACCGATACCGCGGCTCGCTCTACCGCTCTCGCTCGCACGCCGTGACGTCACCCGATTCCCGGAATCCCGCGGCCACGAGATGGCTCATTACGGTAAGGCATTCCCGCAACGGCCAAAAGGTAGATTTGATAAACTACTTATGAAACTACATCTATTCTGAATTTATCTGTTACAAATATACAAGTGTAAGGCAAGATATAAAAACGAATGAAATCCATTAACGATGCATTTAGAATAAATTGTCTTGTAGTTAAGTGAAAAAATATATACTTTTCCGTTTCATGTTTCATGACTGTCATATTTATCCCTTAACCTTAAACTGAAGCATCGGATATTTTTATTCTCGTGAAATCATATAGATACACGTAATATGAATGGAATATATAACACTTCATTTGTGCTAATAATACTCAGAATTCATGCTTTATCGGTAACGTCGGGTATTGACACTAAAATGGTAACAGGGCTACGTAGCCCTATGAACGTGGGACAGAAAAAAGCATTGTATGATAGGTCTATTCTATACCTAGTCGGTGGTATGACTACCCATCGCAGATTTACCGTTCTCGTAACGTAAAGGGCGCTAAAATCGCAGCTTTTAAGGTATCGGTACTACAGTTTAGGTGGGCCACCAACTCCCATAAGATGGAAAGTCTATTCTTATACCGCGTCGGTGCTTTTAAAGAATAGAATGTACGATTATTTACATTTACATATATTAATATTTATAAATTGAATAACGTTGTTATGATAAAATAATAAAATCAATATATAGATATGAAAGATTGTATGCATATACGTACGTATGTATGAAGCAGATGAGAGAAAGTTCCAAGTTCCAAAACAAAATCTGTTCATTCCTACATTTCACACTCAAATTTGTGGGAAACAATAAGTACGTCAATTCAGTAAAATATGAATGTATGTATTTATTCTTGAATCTGTCGCGCCAACCTTTTGACACACGATTGACCGAATAAAATACACAGGTGAGTGAAAATTCCTAATGATACAAAAATGTGAATATCTCAGTAATTAGGCACTGAAAATGAACGCTGTTAGTCTCACATTATTCCTGAGGACTTAATGCATCGACCCAATACTGCAGAACTCCAGAATTAGTCAAATTATTTATGCCTGTATTAACGTTGGCTCTTACGGAGAGGCAATCCAAATAGCAAATGGTTTCGATTGCATTTACACCGCTGAACTACTACCCACTAGTACGTCCTAAGTACTATTCTACGTTCTTGAGACTTTGAATTTAGTACCGAAAAATAGCTGGCGCCAAATATTAGTGTTTCTCAACAGTTTATATGTTAAAAAATTGCTCCCAATTTGCTCCATCGGTATCTGAAATTGCTCCCATCGCACCGTTTATATTTAATGAGATATTCGCAAATAAAAAAGCAAAAATTTGCCGTTTGCACAATAGATACATTGTCAATGGTCTTTTTACACAAATATTATGGTACCAATCACCGAGGGTAAAGCAATGCCCAGCAAAATAACGCCAATCCACTCAAAAGGGCAACCTGATAATATACGTATATTATGTAATAAATTTAATAAACATATTTAAAATTGCGAACACCTAATATAAAATTTATTATAACTCAAATTTCTCATACACGATCTCATACAGTAGCCGCCAGTCATTCACTGTCTCGTCTATTATAAATCGTTCCGAAATTCAAACGCATCCCGGATATCCGGCACTCGTTTTAGTACCGGCCCTTATCACCAATGGCGTTGCAAACCGACTAAAAAAAACCTCTGAGTTGTACGTTGTACACCCGGGCCACTGACGTTCTGACATTTTCGGATCAATGAAGGGTGTTGAGACTGTTGAGTGGTGTGCTGATAAGCGTGTGACCATGTTTTGTTGTATTTTTGTTACGAATAAAAAGTTCGTTTATACACGTGACATATATATTTAACTACGCATATGTAGAATTGTAGTCGGACTTTCTCAAATTTCCAACGATTCCTTAAAGAGTGATCGTAACAGTCACGTTTGTAAATAGTATAATAAGTCGCAAAGAAAGAGTTAAACGTTCAAATTGTTCGTACATTTGACAACACGGGATAACCGGTATGGAGTCTAATGAAGTACAAGATGTACTCACTAATATTCGAGTAAAATATAAAGAAGTACAAAAATTATTGGATGATCACAAAATATTGAGTATGGAGAATGAACCGTATAAAATAAAATACCAGGCAATAAAGGATTTGCAAGCAATGGAAACGGATCTAACTACTGTTTTGAAAAACACGCATGACAGAGAGAATAGATTAATCATAATGTTTGCAGTGTTACATTTAAATCTTGGTTTATTACATGCAGATACAGAGGAATTGAAAGCAGGTGAAGAACGCCTGATAAGATGCCTAAATTTATTGAAAGACAAAGAGTTGGAAACAGAAGCAGTTTTAATAGTACTTAGTGCTCTTAATCAGTTAGGAATTATTTGGTCTCAATGGAGTCAATTTACAAAAGCCAAAGCTTTCTTAGATAGAGCAGAACAGATCTATAATGACTACACAGGAAATGATAATAGAGAATACAGGGATCCTATTAGTATGTTACAGAGTTTTGGTATTGAGGAAGCTGAACCAAATCCTAAAGAAGTTCTTGAGAAAATTCATACCCTGACATTGTATTACTTAGCTCAGGTATATAGTTCTTTGGAGGATCATTATAAATCTGCAATATATTGTCATATGACTTTGCGCAGACAATTAGGCTATTATGATTTCATGAAAGATCTAGATTACATTGATTGGGCATTAAATGCAGCAACATTGTCTCAATACTTTATGGAAAACGAAGGTTTCACTCAAGCAAGACATCATTTAGCAGCTGCATCTTATGTATTACAAATGTTTGAAAATACATTAAAGAAAAAGACAGAGTTTGAGGGAGAAACTGAGGCGATTGCAGCAGAATGGGAAAATTTTAAGCACAGAAGTGCCGATGTTGCTAGATGTTGGGCTAAATATGGTATCTTACTTCTAAGTTTATCCAAACAAAGGCTGTTACAAAATAGTGAGACAGAGCACGAAAATAATCCAGTGAGTAATAATGATACTCTAAAGTTACAATTAATGGAGGATTTGAAATTTCATGTTCTGGAGGAACGGATAGAACCGATTGTGAATCAGATTAGTGATAAATATTTGCTAGATTTCACTGATGCTAGATTAGTATTTTTAAATGCCCAAAAATGGTTGGAACAAGCTAAACTCTATTACACTTTAGAGGATCATGCATCCGATCATATACTAATCGTACAAGATATTTCGAAAACATACAAGTACTTATCATTCTTTGAAGAGCATGAAGATAGACAGGCAAGAATGCACAAAAGAAGAATAGATATCTTAGAAAATATTATAAAAGAACTGAATCCTCAATATTATAAGTCAGCTTGTAGACAAATCTGGATCGAATTAGGCGAGACATATTCAGACATTCTTGAGACAAAAATTCATCACTTACGATCCACAAACGAAAGGCCAACGCCACAGGTATTGGCAAAAATTAATCATTTGGCTAACAGTTCTATAAAGAATTTTCAAATGTTTCTGGACTCTTTAGAAACACGTACATCTGATTGTGGAATGGAACAATTTCCTGAAGACTTATTACAACCAGCTTTGTTCTCATATTTTCATCTTGGTAAACTACACAATAAATTTATATCCCCTGATAAAACGATTCAATTGGAAAATGTTCAAAATAGTCTTAATGCATACAAATTTGTAGTAGATTACTGCGGAAAATATCCTAAAGCAGCAGAGGTGGTCAAAGTTGAATTGAGTCTCTGTAAAGAATTAGTAAAATTATTACCAGTTGAAATTAATAGATTACGAACAGGAATAATAAGTTAATACAATTATATTGTATTATATTTAATGTGTTTCTGTGTATAATTTAATTTGCATTTAACATTCTCCGTATAAATTTTAAATGCTTTTCACGAATGAACACACTTGAAAGTTGTATCTTTTTATTGTATGCAGTTGTAGCATACAATAAGTTATACTTTTTCTATAACTTTCTCATAATTTCTTCACGGTAATAACAAAATCGTAATATAAGAAAATAAAATATTACTACAATAAAAGCATTGTATGGTAACAATTGTAAGCTCTTTATTTCACAGAATTGCATTTCTTTAATTCTAAAATTAAAATGTGTATTATACTTCTATGGCAAATAAATGAAACACAATGTACTAATATGCATAATAAATTCATGTATCCTTTATTCAAGAGAACTTACTCTTAAGGCAGGTCCAGACACGTGCAACAGCGAGCACGAACACGCGTAGCCAAATCCCGTACAATTCAGGCCTTCTTTGCGCGTCAACCCATTAAAATCGACCCTTTCAAGGGTGTTCTGCAATGCGCATTTCTCGCATGTGCCCTGCCTGACTACGGTCGCGAACAACGTGCGTTGCAGAATATTCTTGAGGGTCGATTTTAATGGGTCTACGCGCAAGAAAGGTCCGAGTTATATGGGATTTCCGCTGCACGTGTTTAGACCTGCCTTTAAAACTTAAAGGTAAAGATGAAAGGTATATGCAAACAAGAAGTATGCAGTTACAAGATAATTTGGTATTTATTTCATATGATAAAAATTTACTTTTTTTCAACTTTTTTATTTCCTGCAGCAGCCTTGGCTTTCTTTACCTTCTTTTTTAATCTGTAAAATACATCTGTCCTCAACTTGTTACGGATCTGTCTGGCTTTTCTTAACTTAAAGCGGTCAAAGTCACTAAGTTCCAGGCGCTGAAATTAAATTGGAAAACGTGATTTATTTAACATAAAAATAATAAACCTTTCTTATCAATAAACAAAATAGTTAAACTTAAAATGTATGTCATAGTTACCTTCTTTTTAGCTTCAACCTTCCTTGCCCACATAGTCTGTTTCCAAAGCTCATTAATATTTGCGGTTTCCCATGCCTTACGTACAACACGAGTAGATCCAGTATATGGAAAACGGATACGGAATTTAGTTAAATGAAGCTGGCTTAACCTCATCTCACAACGTGGGACACTCGATGTAGGACCATCAACCAAAACCTAAAAGTGCATTCTTATACTAGTATATAGTTTATTATGTCTCTTATATTTAAACCAGAAAGCTTGGCATCAGTAACAGTATTTGGCATCAAGTAAATGTCAGCCGGCAATTCCTATCAATGAAACTGGATCATCATAGTAATATACTCTTATATTGAATACTAATATAAATAATAAATGAGAAATATACATACTCGATTTTGGTCAATAACGTCCACTATCGCAACAAGTTTGCCTTGATGCGAGCCATCACTCACATAGGCAACGCGGCCCGATTCTACGAATCTTTGAAATGGCTGTTTAAAAATAAGAGTTTTATTATTTTCCTCACTATTATATATATATAAACAACGGTTTACAAAACCATAAGTACTCCTACCATGTGGTGTAAAATCGACACAAATATGAGGTTATTTGGAATAATACTTCATATTTATCACGCATTGTGAAATATATGTAAAACAAAGTATAGTACATGTTAAAAAATCAAAGATATACGACGGAGATAATATCTTATTTGTTAATGGTACAAATTTTAAGTGTAATATGAAAAAGTTAAATTCACATTTCACTCACCATGATTACCGGAAGCGAAAGGACGGGTCAGGACAGTCCTGACTCAGGACAGTGCTGATGCAGCCAGGGGGGTTCCACTCAATACATGATTTTGTCAACACGACATTAACACCATCTAGCGAGATGTGGGGTACTATATCAGTAATGGCGGGCGGTTCAAAAATCGTATTAAATATGTTTGCAAATACAACTAAATATTACATGTCTCTTAATGTATAACTTGATAGTATTTCGAAAATTATTTACAATATTAAATTTACATAAAATTAACCTAATAATATTATACTCTATAAATACATCTTAAAAAGTATTCATTAAATATAATACGCCCTAGAGAATTTGCAGTAGAGGGTTTCAAAATGTGGGTCATACAATGAGAACAATTGAATTTAATTAAAATTTTTTGAAATATGAATCGCGTCATACTGTGCAAAACGGTTCTTGACACAGGTTTATTCAAGAAACTACCAAAATTGTATATTGTTACATGAATACGCGGAATTTCTTCTAAAGTAAAATTTGATGGGCTTCGCGGTGCCTCTAATTTCATTAAATCCTGCAACTGTAGCAATGAGGAATGAAACGTCTCCTCACAGTTCGCGGATATGGAATGCTTACCGGCAATATGTCTAATTAATAAAACTCTGTACGATTCTTCAAATTGAACTGAGTTTACATTATTCGCACGCGTTCGATGTTGTCGAATTTGAGAAAAAAAATTTTCTAAGCAATCTTGATTCAGGGATCTCAGAAAAAAAAGATGTAATCCCTTCAGAAAACAAAATTTCCCTCACATTTATAAAACCTTCTAGTGTTACAATAAAGTTTTTTAAAGAGGGAGGCACAGAATGTTCTTCTGAACCCCCTACTTTAAAAAACATATTTCTTAACTGACGCACAGAATCTTTCCAAAAGGAGAGATGAGGAGGACAATAATTCTGACTTTTTGACTCTAAATACACAGATTGTGATTAGTGACAACATAAAATTACAAGTTTTTCAAGAAAGCAATGAAGTTTCATTCAATGATTTAAAGTGGGTACTGCCTATTGATAAGAAATAAGAATTATCTAGTTGGTCTCAACATATTTTATGTAAATTAACATATATTAGTATTCAATCAGATGTACATTATTTAGCATTTTCAGATACATGCATTTGTGGTCAAAGTTACCACAGTATTTTGTTAAAATTATTGTCAATTTTTTCGAATATTTTATTAAATGATTATGTGAAAACTGTAAATAATAAACTGTTCTCTAACACGAGTTTATAATTAACTGCATAATTGTTCCTTTCAATAGCAAATTATCCTAACCTCTTTTCCACGTGTCCCTTAACCTGTTTGGCATCGTACAAATAATTCTGTCTATTTCAGGTTTCTATTAACTTATACATACCTTTATCAATTTTTAAATGCTTCAATTTGGTTCAAAGATGGTTTTATTATGCTTCACTTATACATACCTTTATCAATTTTTAAATGCTTCAATTTGGTTCAAAGATGGTTTTATTATGCTTCACTTATACATACCTTTATCAATTTTTAAATGCTTCAATTTGGTTCAAAGATGGTTTTATTATGCTTCACTTATACATACCTTTATCAATTTTTAAATGCTTCAATTTGGTTCAAAGATGGTTTTATTATGCTTCACACTTATATTTTCTTCAAACCACTGTAAATATTTCAAATATAATGCACCACAACACCAAACTATTCAGTGTCCACAAAATATATACCACATTTATAAATATTAGTACATATACATCTATATTACTTCTACTTACTATAGTTATGATATTTATGTATTCCTTATGCATAATTAATCAAAAATACTGTGTATTAGTATGATTTTATGTTAAAAATAGCGTTAATTATGACACTGAGCACAAAACTCTATTCTTGAAAATAGGACTCCCGAAATTCGGGACCCGAATCCGCCATAAGCGGCGTTGACGTTGTTCAGCACGGCTAGTACTAGAGTCGGCTGTGGAAATGTCTGTTTTATCAACTTTAAACATGCGTTGGTACACGGGTATCCTGAAACTGCCAGATGACTACATCCTTTTTTTTCGTTTTTTATAGAAACTAAGTACCACCAAATGTTGTAATTAGGTCACCAATGACCACCAAACGATTACGCATCGATTGAGCATTTTAAAAACTGAATCCGGCAAAAAAAAATATTTTTCGGCTAACTTCATAGAGGTTTCAACTAGGCTAACTTCTACAGTGTTGTCGAGTCTAAAGTACGCAATGTTCTCAGATCATGAGTATTCGGTACGTCGGAAAATCATCAAGAGAACCATGGTAATGAACGATTCTCTTCCGCCGTTCGCTGTAAAGTTGGCCCACGCAACAAGCTACATGTAGTTATTCTTAGAATTTTTAACAGATGGCGTTTGGTTCTAAATATTACAAGTTGCGAGTACGCAACAAAACACTTCCCGCGTCAACGTAACAGGTGAATCTCCACCAACAGTCCCATTAGAAGGAGAGAAAAGTTACTCCAGTTACTGTTCTCTCTTTCTAGTGCCGACTTCATGCCTACCAAAAGACCGCATAGTCTATTATATATGTCTATGGGTTAACCTGGACAGCCTGGGCTAACTGTTGCACGTGAAAATTAGTTAACCCCTTTTCTTGTTTGTATGCATGTGAAATTTTAAAAAATGAGAGGCCAAAAAAAGAATTTAAAGAGAAAACAAAGTGATTTGAAAAGTAAAAGGAATAGCGAAGAAGCCGAAAAAGAATTTGTAAAATGTGAACCCGAAGAAGAATCGGTAAAATTTTGTCCTTTTATAATATTGTATATTATAATTATAATTTGTAGAAGTATGATTTGTTAATAATTCATATAATTTGTATTTTAGTGCATACATATTTATATATATTAATTGTATTTTACTACGTATTATAATACTGTGATAAATTTTTTAGGATTCAGGTACAGAAGACTTATTGGAAACAGAAGTAAATAATAATGATGAAAGTTCAGATGAAGAAATTGATGAAGATGAGAATATACTTGAATCTGATACTGAGAAAGATCCAATCGTCTTTGAAATTGAGGATGAAAAAGATGAATTGGAGTTTGAAACAGATTCGGATGAACTTGAATTGGATGAAGATGATTACAAAGATACATCAGACATGGAAAATAATGTAGATGAAAATTCTACTATCAATTCTAAGTCTAAGGATGATAACTCTTTTACATCTATGATAGAAAATAAAGAGGCAGCTAACGCATCAGAAAAGAGGACGCTAAATAAGTCTTCGACAAGTAGAATTGATCTATCGAATAAATCTTTCTTTAAAGCTGCACAAAACAGTAAAGTAGTAAATAAAAAGGTTTTACAATTGAGTAAATCAAATAAAAATGTAAATATTACACTCACACAAGAAAATGTTCCTCAGGGTACAAGTAGTGAAAATACAAATGATAATGTACCAATTGTAAATCAGAAGATAGATGAATACGAATTTGACAGTTCTGATGAAGAAGATGTTCGTAATACTGTTGGAAACATACCAATGAAATGGTACAATGATTATGACCATATTGGTTATGATTGGAGTGGTAAGAAAATCATAAAACCTCAAAAGGGTGACCAGTTGGATAACTTCTTAAAAAGAATGGAAGATCCTGATTTTTGGAGGACCATACAAGACCCTCAAACTGGGCAGGATGTTGTATTAAGTGAACCAGACATCGAATTGATTACAAGAATTCAAAAACAAAAAATTCCTGATGTAACTTTTGACGAATATAGTGTAAGTTTAAAATAGCATTTACCATAGCATATTATAGTATGATGAAAGTTGAAAGACTGTAGTTTTAGCTTATGTTCTTTTGTTATAGCCATGGATAGCATGGTTTACTTCAGAGGTGATGAAAACACCAGTGCGTAAATTTCCTGAACATAAACGTTCATTTCTGCCATCTAAACCAGAAGCTAAAAAAGTATCGAAGTTAGTACACGCACTGAAAATGGGTTGGATCAAATCAACGGCGGAAGTAGAGAAAGAAAGAGAGCAAAAGAAAAACGAACCAGAGTTTTATATGTTGTGGCAATCGGACGATCAGGCTGAAGAAATGCGCAGAATTCACAAGCACATCCCACCACCTAAACGGCATTTACCTGGGCACGCAGAAAGTTATAATCCCCCGCCGGAGTATTTGTTTGACAAAAAAGAGATGAAAGAATGGAATAAACTGCAAACAACACCATGGAAGAGAAAGTTACATTTTATTCCACAGAAGTATAACTCGCTTCGTGAAGTTCCTGCTTATCCGAAGTACATTAAAGAAAGGTTCCAGAGGTGTCTGGACTTGTATTTGTGTCCTAGAGCATTAAAAATGAGATTGACCATAGAACCTGAAGCTTTGGTACCGCAATTGCCTAGTCCAAAAGATTTGCAACCATTCCCCACAACAATGGCCATGGTATTTAAAGGTCATGCAGATATGGTTAGGAGTATTAGTACAGAGCCAATAGGACAATACATTGCTTCTGGCGGTGATGATATGAACTTGAAAAGTATGATTTCATCAGTGTCACAAACAACTCTTAACACGTTCGCTACCAGTGTCACGGTTGTGTGACGCTCCAATTTAGAAATTGGAGTCGGCATACTTTATTAGACAAAAACAGAATATGTTCTGCAAGATTTACCTATATTTTGTGTTATTTATTATCTTAGTTTTATGTCTTGTTAATAATTAGTCAAGAAGATACAAACATTCCACTGAATAGAATGATGGAAACCTAGCATGGTCGATGATAAACATTTTCAAAGTAATGTGGTGGTAGCAAACGTGTGAATATAGTTTGTGCTTATAATATTTTATTGTTCATAGTATGGTTATTTTATAGTATGGGAAATTGCAACGGGCAGATGTGTGAAGACAGTGCCTTGCAATGGAGTGATCAGATCTGTCGCATGGTGTCCAAATCAGTCTTTGTCGCTCATAGCAGTAGCAGCAGATAAAAAAGTTCTCTTAATAAATCCTGGAGTAGGAGATCACTTGATAACTAAAAAAACTGACCAGTTATTAGATATAATACCTCAGAATGATGTTATAGGTATTACACTGTGTATAATTATTAATAGTAATTCAAAGGTAAAACTTAAAACTAATGTTATGCCCTTTATTTTATTAGTTAGTGAAAGAGTTAAGACTGCTGTACAGTGGGAACAAGCAATAGGTGATCATAAGTTCAATGGCATTAGAATAGTTTTAAGTCACTTTAAAATAGTAAAACAAGTAACATGGCATGGTAAGGGTGATTATTTTGCAACTGTTATGCCAGACGGACAAAATAGATCTGTTTTAATAAACCAGTTATCAAAACAAAGATCACAGTTGCCTTTCACCAAGGCAAAAGGTTTAATACAATGTGTGTTATTTCATCCAATTAGACCCTATTTATTTGTAGCGGTAAGTAAAAGTTAGATATAAAACAAAACAGAAAATTTCCGAACAATAATTTTAATAAAATAATTGCAGACCCAACGTAATGTACGAATATATGATTTAGTAAAACAAGAAATGATTAAGAAATTGTTATCGAACTCACAGTGGATCTCATCAATGTCAATACATCCTGGTAAACAGTGTAATGATTATCTAAGCAAGGTACTTAAGCCACTATTATCGTATTTAATGTTTCTCCATATATTTTTAGGGGGTGATAACATTTTAGTAGGCACTTATGATCGCAAAATGCTTTGGTTTGATCTTGATTTGAGTACAAAACCTTACCAGACATTACGCTTACATGGTACAGGTGTAAGAGGTGTTGCATTTCATAAACGATATCCACTTTTTGCATCTGGTGCCGATGATAGGGGTCTTATAGTCTCCCATGGAATGGTGTACAAGTAAGATTATATACTTATAATTATCAGACACCTTTGTTGGACATATATTATTTATTTCAATATACATTTTAGTGATCTTCTGCAAAATCCGTTGATCGTACCATTAAAACGATTATGTGATCATGTATCTTACAATGATTTTGGTATTTTGGATGTGATGTTCCATCCCATTCAACCGTGGGTATTTTCAGCTGGTGCGGATTCAACGATACGAATGTATACCTGAATCATATATTGTGTATCTATATTTTTAAATTAAAAAATACTGCTGTGCAAATGAAATTGTAAAAACTCGGATGAACGATTTCTTATCAGCTAATAAAACTTGGAAGTTACATTCTTTCCACGTGTCAATGTTTGTAACATACAGTGTATCAAACATATAGGAACTTTCTTATTGAAATAAAAAGTTACATAATAGTCGAACTACCACAGAAAGTTTATAGAAAATATTACAATAAATATTTGACATAAGAGGAATAAAATCTTTTTCCACTTTTATACAATATGATTGGCAGGTTTTATAAATAGCTAATTAAACTTATCAAAATTTTAAGACTAGTTTCTACAAGTTACTGTGTCAGGAAGAAAGGAGATTATCATTTCCATTGGTAATGCTATTAATAAACAAATGATTAGTATAAGAGATAAATTACAAGCATGTATTGCACAATATGACAATTGTAATATACTTCAACTGTAAACAGCAACTTACTTGAATAAAGTTTTGTTAAAGATAGACAACAATTAAATCACTAGTCGATAATTATGGAATGATAATTTGATGTAATACAAAACACCCTGTATCTGCATAAGTTAATAATTCGCATTCCTTACAGTATAAATAAATCTGAGTACAACTAACTTGAGTACATACATGAATATGCATTGCATATACAGGGTGATTCTAGTAACTGGGCCGTGCTAAAACACTGTTCTAAGTTATGTTAGAAAAAAATCATGGTGGAAAGTTTAGCACTGTTTAACAAGTTCTATCATCCAACTGTATTATTTTTTTTCATAACTGCATTGTTGTATCCGCAAACTGTAATTGCACTTTTTGTAAACTGGAACACTACTATCTTTTTTGCATGAATTGATTTCTCGTGTCATTCTGCGTATAAAAAGTATAAGATAAGATCATTGAAAATACAATACTTTTACTGCACAGATGCATTTGTGAGAAAAATAGAATCGAACGATAAAGCTTGTTAAACAGTACTAAGTTTTTTTTAATCATTTTTTTCTAACTTCACTTAAAACAGAGCTATAGGCTAGTCCAGTAACTAGAACCACCCTGTAAGCAAACAGACAAATTATGATGGTGGTGGGGAATGACCCAAACATTGCCACTCAGGTTCTCCACATTCACAAATACGACCTGCGTGTCTAACGTGAAAAACTGTAACTACACCTCTGTTGTCGTCGAATCTACAAGTAATATGTAAGTCATGAATCAAAAATGTGTAAAACTGACTACCCCATCGTTGTCTCAAATACACAGATCTAGGATCTTCGCGAAGTACATTTTCAATTGTTACCTTTTGGTCATTAATTTTTATGCCTAAAATTTCATTTAATTGGATCAGTGCTCGATCGTTAAATATTACGCATAGAGGTGTTCGAGGTCTTGATATCCACTCTGGAATTCGTACTTCTGCAGACGAATTAGCTTCTGTATCCCTAATTTCAATACTTCTTGGCTCAGTAGAAATAACTGAATTTGTGTCTGTAGTGTCAGGTAAACTATTATTCGATGTGGTCCTTGCCACATCAACATTTGACAAACTTTGCGAGGGAACAAGCGTTTGCGATTCCAGGCCCTCTTCTCCATCAGGAGCCTCTCGTACTCCCATTCTTACAGGAGAATTGTCAATTCTTGCATTTAACGAACGCCTATAAATTAAATCTAAATCTGTACCACACACAGTACTTGGCCCATCCGCTCCATCTAAAAGTCTAGAGCGAGACGCATGTGCTTCTATGTAATTAGACCCTATACTTCTTGGTACGTACGTTGAGTCGACATTTGCGGGGCCACTTATGTTAGAATTTTGTAATCTATTGCTTATATCTACTAGACTTTCCGATTGTTGTTCTAAGTTTGATGAAAGTATATTTTGTCCAGTGGATATGTTTATGTTTGTTCTTTCATTAGCTGACACATCAGACAAAGTATGATATGTTCTGTGTATACCAGTTACATTCATGCTCTGTTCTAATGTTCCATTATCATGTAAATTAATATCGCTTAATTCAGAAAAATGCCTGACACTGTTATAATTTTCAAAGTTTGAATTCCTTTGGAACTCTTCTGCTTGTAATCTTAAAGCAATTTCTTCGTCCCTGGAAACGTCTGCCTCTTGATTAGTTTCATTGGTGTTCTTTCTATAATAAGAGTCTGAAAGCAGACTCCTTGTTTCATGCTCAAGATGAATGTTAGCATTGAACGTTTGATTTCTACTTAAGTTGGTAGTCTCTTCAATGCACCCAAACGTGTTATCTATGTTAGATTCCTGCGATCTATTACTTAATTTCTCGAAATATATCGGACTGTCGTACTGTGGTATATAAGGTTTTATATCCAATACAGGCGACTGATCTACCATATCCACACCTTCAAAATAAATTGTATGATTCTCTATTTTTGTAATCTTTACTAAACTTAAACCAATCGGACATGGACGATGAGGAGATCTTGTGGAGAACACACCAGTTTTTGTACCATTCAGTCTTGGTGGTGCGACTTTAGCCCGAATATGTGTTGAATCATTCCTATGGAAGTAGAATAAAACCCTGTAGAAATAAATGTTAAACAACTGTTAATACACTCTGCAAGATCTGACAATAAAATTTCGAGAATAGTTCATTTCAAAATTTGATTTTAAAAATTAAACAGATGTAAAGCCATCAACTTCAAAGTAGTCTTCTTGAGACTGATTCACGCATTTCTTTCTGTTCTCATATTCATCATTCAGTATTTTATAATTGATTCATTATAACCAATGTATTCAAAGCTGGAATCCGTGTATGCAGTCTCAAGGGGACTAGTTTGACAATGATGCCCTCATATCTATATAATTTTCCAAATATAATTTTTAAATGAATTATTCTTAAAACTTTGTTATATCCTGTATGTAGGAAACAAGAATTGCTTTTATAGATGCATTCATCTGATTTCTCCATGCCATGTATAAGATGTACTTGCAGGAACTGTGTGCATTGTATTAGAAATTGGATTATATTAATAATTACCACATGTGTGAAAAATCTTGTAATCCTTCAACAGCATGATCAGGATTGGTATATATTGAATTATATAGCAGCAATTTCCCTGGTACTTTTCCACAAATTCCTGTTTGTCTAGGAGTGCCACGTTTGCTAGGAAACCAAGTAGATATTACTCCAATTGGTTTTAATTTTATAGCATCATCGTCTGCACTGGTGCTAGGTTTGACATCGTCTAAGGATATAACTTTTGTTTCTGAAGATATTGTTCCTCCATTCTGGTATGATTCTAAAAGACGCTTTATAGTATCAACGTCTTTCTCATGTATATAACGAAGTGTTTTAATTTGTTGCCTATAAGCATTATAAAGTAGTACTGTGGTAAACATAACGTGGTATTAAAAGTATATTAATCTACTTTTGATATAATACCGAATATCAACAAGTATTGACATATATTAATTAATACTTTCAATTTACAATACTTCTGCTTGCATATGTAATATAAATAATATATATGTACATATGTGTATGCTGTTCCCATGGCACACGTTACATACACAATGGCTTAGAATGCATATGCAATACAAGTCTGAATGGAACTTGTTGATATCTTTTCAAATAAGTAATTCTTTAAATCTTTAGAGACGTAGTAATAAGAGAAGTTAGGTGATACCTTAAGTTATTAATTTCTTTCCTGGCTATATTTAATTGACCGAGCAAATATTTGCCATTTAAATCGGAATTTTGACAAGCCGAATCCATCACTTCCGACTACTCTTAAGAGCGAAATAACTGGATGAATGGAATCAATGGAATATAGAATGAACTGGAATCTAGGATGCACCTGCATCATGGGTCAAAAAATAGCTAGAAAATGAACTCTGGTTGATTCTGGTTTTAGGGTTTAAATTATTGAACGTGAAAGGAACGAATGTAAAGGCGATAATGTCGCCCGAATTCTGGCTATGGTTAGTGATGGGCACCATCGACTAAAAACTATCGACTAAGTCGATAGTAACCAACGACTACTTTTAGTCGACTAATTTTTTTAATCGTCTTATCGACTTTAGTCGCTTGAAACGACTAATTTCAGACGAATAATATTAGTCGCTTGAAGTGACTAACTGCAGACGAATAATATTAGTCGCTTGAAGCGATTATTTTCAGGCGACTAAAATTAGTCACTTGAAGCGATTACTTTCAGGCGACTAAAATTAGTCGCTTGAAGCGATTACTTTCAGGCGATTAATATTAGTCGCTTGAAGCAACTACTTTAGTCGATTAAATTTAGTCGCTTGAAGCGATTACTTTCAGGCGATTAATATTAGTCGCTTGAAGCAACTACTTTAGTCAATTAAATTTAGTCGCTTGAAGCGACTACTTAAGTCGATTAAATTTAGTCGCTTCAAGCGACTCGCTGGAAATATCGCGATACAAACGAATTGTAATTTTTCCATATATTTTTTTATGCATTACCTTGTAAACTAATCGTTTAAATTTCTCCGAAAAAGTCAGATCGTTAATTTTAAAAAGTTTATTTAATTGTTTAGAGTGCACGAATACGTTCGTGCCTCTTTTATATTAATAAGGAATTTGAAGTATTAGTAAGAAAGAAGACGAACCAACTAGAACGTATTATCTCAGAATTCGACTCTGTCACTTGATAATGTAAACATTTAAAACTCTAAACATTACGGGAAGCAGGGGTGGGCTAGTATTACTAACGAAAATAAAAGATTCGTTCTTTAATTCTTTTACG